CCCGTAAGATTACAGTTTGTCGCGCGCACGCTGAATTCTAAAAAGGCGGTGGTGAATGTCGGCACCCTTCGCCCCGCGAGTACACCACTGCGACGATCAAATTTATAAGTGAATCGTTTTTACGACGTTTTTCCGACGACGACCCTGCAGTATACATATATATAGTAGTCGCATAAATATTATTACCATTATTGTTATTATTATTATATCTTAGAAGGAGGAGAAGACGACGTGACTTTTGTTAAAGTACCCCACTGATCTGCACCAGGATCAGCATCAGCCACAGCCACTGTCGCTTATTCCTACCTGCCTGCCTGCTTTGCCTACCTGGGTGGTTTATTTACACTTTTTTTTAAACATATATACATATATGGATGATAGATATAATATAATATATATTTTCCCCGAACCAACGGTTTAATCGGTCGTCTATGTGCCCATGTGCGCCCCGCTGTTTCGTGTTATTGGAGCCCCCCATCGAGTTTGGCAACGAACACCACCGGCCCCGGCACCAGCGTGCACCACGACGTTATGTATCTATATGCCATCATGCAGAGAGAGAGACCAGCAATGCTGCATTTATTATTATTATTATTATTATTATTATTATTATTATTATTATAATACTCTGTGGCACACGACCCATGCATTTTTATACGTCACTAAATACTTTGTGTCGGACACACAACGAAGATGACTGCTGGTTATTTCTATATATAATGTAATTGTTGTGGTAGGAACAATTTTTTTTTTTTTGGAATTTCTTCTTTGCATCGACCCAAACGGTCGGGTTCGTTGTGTTTGAGACGCTTGTACAAAAAGAACTATAGAGAAACGTTCGTTGTTTGCATGTGCGTGTGCGTGCGTGTGAGTTGTGAGCATCGCACTCGCACACAAAAACCTTTTTGTCCCCTATATAGTCGTTGTTCGGCGTGCAGTTCTCTTTCGGTGCAAGACCGTTTGAAAAGTAATTCGACCAAAAAATAAATTCTTTGGCCAAACAACGGTACTACCTTTTTTTTATCGTTTATTTTCCCCCCTCGACATTTGATACGTCTAAAAATTACAATTACAATGCAAGGGATGAATTTCACTAGATTCAAATGTTATTATATTTATCATTATATCATATTATTATTACTGATTCATTCCCGTTTAATTTTTTTTTTTTGGCCTGAACAAAATAAACTAAGAAACAGCGAAGAAATAAAATTATTAATTTTATTTAAACTAATAATAATCAGAAACAATAGGCGGTAGATTATCTCACAGCCAGCCAGCTGTGCTCACGACAAGCTTATACACACACATACGCACGCACAAGCCAGGCACACAACAAAAATGGCCGCGTCGCCTCGGGGTCATTCCACAAACACACACACAAGATAGTCGTAGCTGCTGCATCATCATTTAAGCGCCCATCATCATCATCACGATTGTGTTTAAGGATATTATATATATATATATATATATATATATATACGTATAGCACTAACCACAGAACAGCTATTATTGTTGAATAATATTCTGCATGAGAAGATTGAAATTCCATAGTAAAGCTTACGGTGTACAATCAATGTATAGGTACATATTATAAATAAACTAAACAAAAACACTTTGTTTTTTGATTTTTTAAATTAAGATTTGTTACACATAATAACACGATAACAATTTATGGCAACTTCAAATGCTGAAATAAAAAAATAATGATTAAATATTTTTCTTATTAAGAAATAACATAACAGGTAGGTATTTGCCTTATTTACGGTCGTATTTGAACATAATCATCTATAAAAAAAATAATGACGATGATTATCTTTGTTTTTAGATTAATGTTTTGTTTACATGCATCATTTTGGTTTGACAAAAACAACGGTGATAAAATGAAGAACAATGAAAAGAAAAAGGGGTAAAACTTTAAGTGCATAGAATAAAAAGCACCAACTGAATCCTTTTGTTTTCATTATTGTAATAGGTATATGTATACAAGAAAAATAAAATAAGAACTTGTTTAGTAAAAACTGGTGAATAATTAATTTATTAACGAATTTCGATATGATTAAACGAGTACTGTCACGCGTTGCTATAACAAAAATTCAAGACATTCAAGAATATTTTACAAGGTATAGAGATTTTTAATATAAACCTTCGAAAAAAATAGGGAAAAACGCTGGAATAGTATTATAGTCGTATAATGGCATTAAATAATATATTATATTAAAAATGTGCAGAGGCAGGTATACAAAATAATAACAAAAGGCAAGACATTTTTGTCGAAAGGTAAGCAAGCAGCTCTACCTCCATACCTTCGCCTTATGTTCGTGTGTGCTTGTATATTATGTCGTATGTGCTGCAGTATTCGTGTGTGTGTGCCAGAGAGTGAGTGTGTGTTATATGTGCTTCTCTTTCTAATGAATACACGTCATAACAATAGGGTCTCCTCCACTAGGTAAAAATGTTCTTTTCATACAATATAATATAATAGTAGAGCCATTGCATTGTCGGATAGCCTTATATATCATTAAGAATAATATAATATAATATTCAAACCGGTAGGTACAATATAATATATAGAGTTCCATTTAGAGGAACGTAGTTTTTATATTTTTCAACGTGGAATATATTTTAAATTTTATAATATATAATACTTGTATAGTATTATATACCTACATATATTTATATATTATAATATAATATGTATAAAAAATATTATATTTTAGTGACATCGATCTACCTACTCATACATAATATCGTTTAATATTTGTTTTAGTGTTGTGTTATGAAGGTTTTCATCTTATAATATATTATAATCAGTATAAAGAATAAAAGGTGTCATATCCCCGCTGTTTTTCATTCTGAAATCGCATCCCAAGGGGAACATTTGACGGCAAGAAAAGATGTTGATAGAGGAGGAATAAAACGACAATAATAAAACGAAAAAAAAGACCGACGAAATAAGCTCAAGCGAAACATTATTTTTCCCCTTTAGAAAGTAAAAAATGTGTGATAAGACTTAGTGACTTTAGGGGGAGGTGAAAGTAATTAGATCACAAATTTCGAGAAAAACGTGGTGGTTATTTTCCACCCACCCATCCTTGATCTCACGTGACCAGGCCACCACCACCACCACTGGCTCTGCCTAGTATTCTCATTTAATCCCGCGGGAGACAAGTGACAGGGGTGGCTGCGTACTAAAAATACTTATCAGTAAATAAAGAAAAAAAGAGGCCAACATCATCCTACAGCTTCTGCGAATATCATTATTTTCTTTTTTGTTATTACTATATTTTTGGGGTGTAACAAAAACAGTAATATCTAATAAGTATTAACTATATAAAACTTCAACAAACCAAACCCATCAAATATATATATATATTCGAGCCTGGGTTAAAAAAAATATAATATATGTATTTTATTGACGCAACTAAAGTAAAGAAATAACTAATGTTATACACCAAGCACTTAACCACGTTCGAAAACTGCAGAGATATAGTGACAATTTCCATTGTTAGACTACCACTATATATGCATACAAGTACATAACATTTTAAATCGAAAAAAGAAGGAAAAAATTGTGATATTAAAGTTTTTTGCGATAAAATGATTTTTCAGCATTACACCAAGTCCTATATATGTGCAACGAAGACAAAACTTGAAATTATGAAGGCGTCACTCCTGCCGCTTCCATCGTCGCCATAAACTGGCGGCAGTACTAGTATTAAGACAGCAACCGAACTGCAAAGCGAGCAGAGAGAAAACCTTTTAAGAAGATGGGAAAGTTTGTTTTCCCACTGCGGCGTCTAAAAGTTTCCACCACCTTCCTCCTTTTATACCAATATCAAGCAGCAACATGTGAAATACTCTCAAAACCACCCCTTGTCCCTGTTGAAAACAGCCACTAAGATGAGTTTAAGTTAAACCTTTAATATTACATCGAAATTATTTTACGCTTTTCTGCTTTTAGGTAGACAGTAGTACTAGAGTTGTTGGTATTTCAACGGTGATGTGTCGGAACGTATTAAACGGCTGAATGCTTAAATTCTTAACATAAAACGAAATTTATTTAAATATCAAACAATATCAAATGATTGTCATTTTAATTTGTTGTTTTTTTCCAAAAACTCGATGTCCAAAGAACGAAAATATTGTTTAAATTAAAGACATAAATGTATAGATAGTACATAATTTATTTTATACATGATGTAATAAAGACCATTTGTTTTCAGTTATATTTCTGACTTCCTAAATTAAACTTATGAGAAATCGAAAATATTATTTAGAACTTTTATACCAATGAAATGATTAAAAAATAAGTACTCATACTTTTGTTTTCTTAATTTACAGAATATAGTATATACATAAATTGAACGAAAATATTTTAAATTGTATTTAGTGTTATCACTAATTATAGTTATTATATAAATATATAATGTTTTTAATTCGAATTTCGAAATCGTTAATTGATAATTAAAAATAATGTGTTATTTGAATTAAATTAAACATAAAATATTCAGTGATACAAAATCTACATTCCAAAACATAATTTTGACACATTTTTGATACCTACGTATATTTTAGTTAATCTCTTCACTTAATCATTGAAACAACATGCTGATGATGGTCGATATAAAAATAACATCTATGTCTAAGACTGTGTATCGTCGACGATAATCGAAATAAACAGTTATAATAGTATGATAATATTCTGGTTGTAGGGATTGTCCCCATCCATATAATAACAACAAGGACACACGCAGGACAAACACTCAAGATGATGGCACTTGAACAGCGTATGTGTCCAGGCTCAAGTGACATACACGCGTAGGTAAACATGTTACTATACAATAACGTTTCGTAGGGGTTCAAAAACTCCCTAGATACGGGACGAGAACAACGCTGCAGTGGCGCCTCAAATGTTGTTTGTATTTCTGTTAAGTGATATTTCTAACCGTAGAAAAAAAAATAATAATAGTAATACAAATTAAGCGTTCGTCACTTACCAGGATCGCCGTGGTCGAGACTTTGCTGCGAGCCCGGTTGCTGTGACATCGGCCCAGGCGTGCCTCCCGAACCGGGAGATCGGTCATCATTCCCGTGTCCACCGTACGATAATGAAGATGAAGGTGGTCTCTGAAATAAATCAATTAAATGTGTACATTAAAGAACGTGTCGTTGTAGTACTACGTGAGAGTTCTCTGAAAAGTATAAATAATCAATAGGTATATACGAGACAAATTTTAACCGTGTAATGGAGTAATATGTTTTTCGTGGAAGAAAACCACTAACAAATGTATACAAAAACCGCCACCGTTGCAATATAATATTTAGTTTCACGGTTTCCCATGGGATCAAATACGACGATCTTTCCTTCTTCCTATACTTTTACTACTTAATCGTATGATAGTACTACTACTGCTGCAACTGCCGCCCCAAATGTAACCTTTTTCTGCTTCCCTTACTACATTTCGTAATGTTTCCTCATCGTTGTAGGGAATACCATCCTCTAAGGGATAATATTCTTCTGCCCTCTCTTACATACGCACGACGTCCTAGTGACCCTAAAATGTCAATAATTCTTCATATTTTTTTATTATTATTATGTGATTAAATATTGATAACTGTAGCAGTCATTATAATATAAGACTATATCAAATTATAAAATAAACTAAATTATAACTAATTTCCTCACTCCCCCTAAACCAAAAAAATTAAAAATATAATATAGTAATTGTATATAAATTATAATAAATAATATTTTTTACTGTACACATTGTAACATAATTTATTATCTTATCGCAGTCAAATATTTGTTACAATATGTATGAGTGTTTATTGTTTACTAAAGACTGACTACTATATAAATGAAACGTTGGGGAAAAGGTAGTATAACACCCAAAGCAATCGTCGTAAAATAAATAATGATTTTTTTTTTTATTATTATTTACTGAGTAAGCAGATAAAACAAAAATCCTTCCATTTACCTTGCTACTGCTGTTATAGGGATATCCTTTTTTACTTTTTACATTTTTTGTCATGATGTTATTTTTTGATAACTCAGTATGACGACTACATATTTATTTAATTTTGTTATAAGGATTATACCGGTATTATAAGCGGTATGTAGATACGGACAGCTACGTATATCTAGGAAAATTATACGAAATCCGGTTTTCTTCGGTTAGTATTTTTAAGTAACATATAATGGATTTTGCATGTACCGTGATCTGTGTCATTATATTAGGTGTACCAGAATACGTGGGAGCGAATGAAAAAAAATAACAACTAGCTTCAACGATTATTATGAAACTAAACAATGCTGTCACTTTTACATGAATTTAGTCAATTATTTCATTAATATAGCCATTAATTATAATATATGCATAAAGAATATTATTTGAATATTATTTGAATATTATTTATCAATAACCACCGATTACATTAATGATAATAATTATTAATATTTTAGTAACTACACACTTACACACAAGTGTTGGCGTTACACATTGAAAGGTTTCATCATTATTATTATTTTTATAATATACAATCATATCACCATTTTACTCAGACTCACGTATGTCTTTTGTAATAATCTCAGATCGATTTCGCTCGATTGCTGAAACAATTGTCTCCTCCAAGGCGTATAAGCGTGTCCAATATACACTCTTTATATGATAAATAATAATACTTGCACACACAGCAACACTACAAGTGATTTTCGTTAGTCTGTAGTTAGTGAAATTAAATGCCATCACTATACACGCATATATTTATAATTATGTAGTTATAATTCGACATATCATGATGGCAACACAAGTGGTATATTATAGGAATTACGACGGTTGCGTGTTCTTCTTGGCACTTTGTGGTGTGACGTTAAGTGAAGACTGTGAATGAGGGGGAGGGGGCGGAGGGATGGGGATATACCGTAAAGGCGGAAACTGCTATATGCACACATGTCGATAGATTTTTAACACGCGGGGTGTTCAGCACACCCACGAACCGTAGTAATTTCTTGTAACGAACGTCGACTATGTGTTTCCGTTATATTCTGCCAAATATATACATGTTTTATTTTTTTCAGAAATAACGAGAACCATATACATACATTTTTCTTGCTATACTCTCACTCTCACTCTCTCTCTCTCTCTCTCTCTCTCTCTTTCTCTCACACACACATACACAAGTAGTTTACTGGACATTTTTAAGGGTTAGACTAAACGGATTCCCAGGTGTGTATTTACTTCCGGCATATTTTAAGTATTATTATGTAGAAAGAATGAATTTGCCATAACTGCCACCAGCGTACCAACGACGAGAATTGTTTATATTTTTTCATTTCATATAGAACGACGGCGGTAGAGGATTGTGAAAAACGAAAGGGTCTATCCCGTACCAACAGTGTAGACTCTGCTTCCGGTCTTTTCATAAACCCTCCCACACATGTGCGCTTTAGGCAAATAATATGATATATTAAAAAGAAAAAACCGCAGGATTATTTTATTTTCGATTGACGACAGGAACTGTAAAAACATATTTCATTTTATATACTATGCTATTGTCTTTGTGCGAGTTGTCGGTTCACTGAGACCATTGTTAGTTTTTTTCGTATCCATATTTTTTTTACTCCATAAACCACTTTTGTCCGACCTAGACTAACTACCACAGCAATTTTATTATAATGTATAAAATTCGTACTTTATAAGGAGACAACCGGTTTAAAATAAGCAACGGCCCAGACCAATAAACAGAATTTAAATGTTTAAATTGAATTTCCTTTACTTTATTAGAGTAGGGGTACTTTCAAAGCTAATGTGAATATGCAAATTACCGATAGAATTTTAATTTTTAAATATATTTTACGGACATATTGTGTTTGCATAAAAATTATACAACTATATATAATAAGTTTTTTTGCTAATGCTCTCATTTCCATAAATGTCAATAATTAGTATTTACAGCTCTAAGAAAATTACGTTAAAGCATAAATTATACAAAAATATTGACCCACAAATGTACTGAATTGTTCGGTGTCATTGAAGGCATTATTGTTCCAATTCTAATGACATGCACTGTTCAAGGCGAAACGAGTCTAGTGTCAATTACAATACTTTTCAGGAAGCGATAATAACACAAAAAAATTTGTAATAGTTGATAATTGAATAGCGGCGCACTCCCCGCAGTCATAAACCACTACATTAGCCACTCATACTTTTCTGGAAAGAAACAATTATCAGTTATTTTCTAATATCTGTCGCATTACTTGGACCATAAATGTCATTCAGCTCCTAGCCACCTACAACACTATATACAGTCTCAGAACGGCCAAGTATTCTGTCGAGGTTAAACTTACTTATAAGTTATAACTTATTACTTATACTAACAATTATTTATGTTTTATCACTCTTATTTTATTTCAATTATACAATTAACTGCGTATATATTTTTTATAATAACACCATCATCAATTATAACGATATACAGAGTCAATAAAAACACATGCTATTTTCTTGTATACAGACACATCTTATCAAAATTACTGAGATGAAAAAATAATAAAAACAGCGAGTGTTATAGAACACAATCATGTTTCACTCGTCTTATACCCTGTTTTATTCTTCGTATCTGTATACTTTGACAACTCAATTCTACACATACGCAGTCTCACGGGTATTGCAACTGCTACTTATGAAAATTGTATGAGTTCGGTGGTCTGCTGTGCACCGTTTGCTTCTAACTAGACATATATCCGTCGTGGTCGCGTAGTTGCAGTATACATTTTTCATGGTCGTTCGGTATTCTGTTTTTTACACCACGGCGGGCGTTTGCTCTTGCCAAATTAATGATTGACACTCGACGCGTTGTGTGTACGTATAATATAGTATGTACAAACCCGCTATCGTTTCTTCTTTTCTTTTTCAGGTTTCTTTTGCAGCTAGTGCTTTTCTTTATCTATCTCCCGTGCCACATACATATGAATTATTTAACGCCAGCAGTAGTAAAATTCACTCAGTACGTGATGCGTAATCGAAACAGAGAACCAAAGGGGTGCTGCCTAATAGTTTGATAAACACGTCATGTACTCGCCACGCAACTCTATGTTGTTTTTTTCCTTTCCTGTTATACAACCCTGCCGTCTTTCACTGTTTATTCTCCGTGCACCGGGATTTAACTAAATAAATTATAATATCATCTACACGCATTCTCTTCTTTTAATATCGTTAAATAAACAACACAATATGTTCTCGACGGCGACAAAGCAGTTTTTACCGTCATACATTACATATTATACATAATATACTTAGAACAAACAAAACACTCTTAACATATAAATATATTACATAATATTATTGAAAATGCGTGTAAATTAAATTTTGGTATAAGCATAATTTCTGTATTGTTTCCAGGGGATGAATAGTAATTATAATAATAATAATAATAATAATAATAATAATCACGACCCACCTAAATATTACCGAGTGAAATATAATATCACACGGTGTCATAAACAACGGGGAAAAATAATAATAATAATAATAAATAAAAATCCTCGACAAACGCCACTATATATATAGCAGAAGTTATAGTCGGTATATGGGCGGAGGGTTGGCCGGCCGACCGGCGCGTGTCCACCGTCACTGCTGTCAGTCGCAGAGCACAGGCAGACACGTCCGTTGCAGACGCGCAGCAGCCACGGCAGAAATAAATAATAATACAAATAATTCTTTGGCTACATACGCGCGCGTGCCACGTACATGCTTACTTCCTGCCTCCCCGCAAGAGCAATGTTTTCCCACACACTCGCGCGCGCTCACTCGCACAAACACACACAAATATACGCATATCGTGTGTGGAGAGGAAAAAGCACGACGTATACATATATATAATATATATAATAGTGCCACTGCGGTGTAATGTCGAAACGGCCAATATATATGTATATTATATTATATGAACGCACAAACAAAACGCGTCTGTTTCGGTGGTCCAGAACGCGTGGGGCGGGCTTTTTCTAGTTTTTTTTCCCTGTATATTGTTTTTTTTTTACCACCACGTGTCCGCGTGTACCAACGCACACAAAAACCCCAAAGACTGACACCAAAATAATGTTGTATAGATACCTACTCACAATG